CATCACATGTTTATACATGTATGTAAGTTTTTCTATGGTATTCTTAGAGCATAACTGCTAAATTGAGATTGTGTGCATTTTTAAAATTTTGATTGATACTTCTCAAGTGGTTGTACGAGTTCAGACACTCACCAAAGCAAATAGAAGGGTCTGCCTCCTCCCCTTCTTCCAAGTCTTTGTATTCTCAGTGCCTACATTTCTTTAGAATAGCCTTTCATTTATTGTCGTTCGGTCAACAAATACTAAATAATATAGCAAGTACTGTTCTAGACACTGGGGATGTAAAGTCTAATGGGGCATTGTTCCTGATTTCAGGCACTTAGAGCCCAGTGAAGGGGCAAGAACCCCAGTGCCTACAGGACACTGCTCTCAGTGCTGGGGTGTATGGGTGCAGAGGTGCTATAGGAGCCCAGAAGAGGTGTACCTACATCAAACTAGGCATCAGGGGGCTCCCTGGAAGGGTTAGCATCAGAGCTGAATTTGAGACAAAATTGTAAAGGTTAACCAGAGCAAAGAGAAGAGACCATCTAGTGGAGAGAGTGCAGGTTGTTTTCGGGGAGACATTCTGCACAAGCAAATGGAGACTTGGGGTTCCAAGGAATGGCTGGAATAAGAGGCACAGGTCGGAGAGAGGCGAACGAGGAGATAGAGACATGGGAGGAACCAAGCCACAGAGTTTGCTTCCAGGCCTGTGTACCAGGGTTCCTGTTCATTTCCGCCGCTGGCTCTGTGGGTTCCCATGGCAACAATCTGCTGCACCCAATTAGTGATAGTCACCAATGTGACCATGAGTGAGCCGTCACTAAAACTGAGAGGAGTGTAATGGAATGGAGCTTGGCCTCTTCTCCCAGCCTTCAATGCAGAACACTCCCCAGTCAGAGAGGAAGTGGGCTATATCTATAGGGCAGCCCTATAGCCTAGAGCCTTGCTACCCAAACTCTTGTCCTCGGACGCCCAGCAGGAGCACCACTTGGGAGCCTGTAGAAATGCAGATGCTCAGACCCCACTCCAGAACTGCTGCATCAGTATATGCATTTAAATAAGACACCCAGGTGATTTGTGTATATGTTAGAGTTTGGGAAGTGCTGGCGTCGTGTTTAAGGGTTTGGGTTTTGGCATCAGCAGAACTGGATTCAAGACCCAGCTTTTTAGTTGATTTTAGAACCTTAGACAAGTTACTTAACTTCAGTGAGCCTCATTTGCCTCATAAATAAAATGGGAGAATGATAGTAGCTATTTTGATGCTGTTATAATGATTACATGATGTACATGGAAGCACTTACCAAAGCCCCTGACTTTGCTATAAGTTGTCAATAGATATAATCTGATGATAATAGGATCCTTGAGGATGTGGTGTGAGGTCAGAGATCACCTTCCCCAAAGAGGGTTTATCTGAGCTTCGGGTGTTCTGCAATAGAAAGAAATCCAACCAGTTGGGTGCCCAGCTGCCACAAAGCTCTAATCTGAGCAACTGGTGGCCCCACAAATGTATATTTCTTTTCCTTCAGAGAAATAGACTAGCCAAAGGGCCCGGAGCGGGTTGGGGGCACTGCTTTCTCTAAAAGCGTCCTACATGCCAAGTTCCTAAATGTTAATGAACCGGACAGCAAACCAACGGGCTGTGGATGAAGGGAACCACGAAGAAGCTTGCCCTGCAGAAACAAGTCTGCGTGCCTGGATAAAGCTTCCCTGACATCTGCTGCTGACACCTGCAGGCTGGGCCTGCTGCCAATGCCAGAGAGAGGCAGGCCCTTTGCAGAACTTTTTTTTTGTGTGTGCATTGCTATATGATTGGGTAGAAATATACTAAATAAGAGTTGTAACAAAGAGCCCCCATGGGCTAATCAGCGGTGAGGTAGCATGGTGTCCTAGATAGGAGTCAGGCAACAAAGGTTCGAGTGAGTGCCTACAGGCTGCCAGGCACCGGGGACACACCACAGTCTCTGCCCTCATGGCACTTAGAGACTAGAAAGTAATGGACATGCAATACATAACCGTTAAATCATTTTAACTGTGTCACCGTTTGGAAATACATAATGCATAGCTTGGAGCAAAGCAGTGTGCTGTCAGAGGCCGGAGTCAGGTGGTGTGAAAACTCTCCTAGTTCTGACTCTGATTCAATGTGCAATTTTGGGGAGTTCACGACCCTCCTCCCTGGCACTCAGTTTTAGCATCAGGAAAATAGGGGATTTGGCCTTGATGACCTCCAAGCTTGTTCCCAAGTCTGGGTATCTTTGGTAAGGGTTAAAAGCATCCCATTCATGTACCCCTGCCAAAAAAAAAAAAAAAAAAATGAAATCTACTTTCTGAAAAAGATCCCCATAATCCCCTTTATAACCTCATGGACTCCCTGCTGAGCCCTAAGGATTAGATATATAAGCCCATCAGTTGTATTTGGGATCCCAGACCCTAAAGATGCCAACTGTCAGCAAGTATCAAAGGCCACTTCCTTCTCATGGGAGATCTTGCCTGGCGTGGAGGTTAAAGAGCATGAATTCTAGAGTCGGACTTTCTTGAATCAACTTTGCTGTGAGACCTTGGGCCAGACACCTAATCTCCCTGGGCAGCAATTTCCTCGTTTGAAGGGCAGAGGTAACTGGGAGAATAATAGTACTCAATAGATAGTGTGCTGTGGGGATGCAGTGAGATAATGGATGTACCCAGAACATAAGAAACACTCCACGAAATGGAACTGTCGTTTCTATTATCAGAAATTGGCTCAGAACGATTATCAGAAATTGGCTCAGAGTTTGTGAGTGATGTTGGTAAACTGGATGGACCCTGGAATCTGGTTAGAGGAGTACGCACGGGAGCATTCATAAGGGAACATAGCTACTTTACCACGACCACAGAAAGGAAGACCCTAGGCTCGCAGTCATGGGGTCTGACATCAATTCTGGCTTTACAGTGACTCCTTGGGTGACACTGGTCAATTCAGACATCTCTCTGGGTTTCAGTTAAGTTGGGGCTAGTTTCATCTCAACTTGGGACTGTGAGAACCCAGTGAGATCACATAACTGACATCGTTGGAAAGGTAGGATTAGCTCCATCACTGTGAGTTCCTGCTATGACAACTGTACTCAGAGGCAGGGAGGATGGATGGTTCCTGCTCCTTCCTAAGCTTTCTGAAAATAGGGTCACTATATGGTATGGATGGCCCACCATTACTTATTACAGGGCAAGGAAAGGGAATGCAGACTGGATGCAGTTTTACTCACACTCTTCCTTTTAATAAAAAGGCTTTTTTCTGGACACTGTCCTCTTAAGATGGTATAAACAAGTTGGAAGTGTAGGCATTGGCTCTGGGAAAGCCCTCCAAATGAAGGTCAGAACTCTTTACAGTGTGAGCTCCACCCGCAGTCCACTTCCCCGATCAAGCTGTACTGTTGGAAAAGCCGACTCTCATCCCTTCAGCCATCCAGCACCTCCACGTCAGTCTGGGTTTCCTCCCCTGTGGCTCTCGCCTGTGCAAGCAGTTCCAGGGAGGCTAGAATCTGACTTCTGGTGTCACTGCGCTTGGTAGTCAGAGAAGACACAGTCTGAGGACTCTTTCCGCACAGGCTGTTTTTCATCTCAACTTGGGTTCTTGTTTGTAAAACTCGCTAGCTCGTTGGCCCTCGGTCTTCACTCTGCACGAATCAGTCAGGATTCCGTCAGTCCATCGTTTCCAATCATTGACTCTCTTCTAAACTTTAATTAACCTGTGAACTCTGAACATTGATAGAAATGGCTTTTTGCGGAATGGCTTTTGTCATATCTACGAGGACCTAGTGTTTACTGAACTTCGGCTTCAAACAAAGCAGTCTTTGGAGTCACGGAAGATACAACTTCATGGAAAAGGCAGAGTCTCTGTCTTTCAGGCTCTTGGTTGATCTCTAGAGAGATTAAACATGGACTTAAGAAAATTGAATTTAAAATATAGGTCAGTATGTAGTGAATTCTAGAGGGATGGTAGAGGTGGCAACTTCCACAAAGATGTGGAAATCCATGAGTCAGATCCAGCCCACAGGTTTTTTAAAAAAGAAAAGAAACAAAAAACAGTTCTCACATCGTCTCTACTTTATCTTGAAAAATCCAGAGACCTGGCAAAATGTACCAGCCCCGGAGCATGTTAGTAGCAGAGCAGTCGCCCCCTTTTAGATGGGGTGGGACTTGCCAGGTCTCACAGCCCCCAATCCCATTAGTGTCCTCAACTGTACCTTGGCCAGCTTCCCTCATTCACCTTACCCTGACTCCTGTGTGCATTCTGCATCCAGGAGCCTGTTACTGTGGCTCAGAAGACAGAGAACTCACTGTGGGCTGGATCAGATCTCATGGACCCGTGCCGTTTTCATGGTTACTGATGTCTAGGTAGGATTCGGGTAGAGAGGAGAGGAAGTCAAACAGGGTGTGATCAGAGGCATAGGAGGCGAGTATAGCCCCCGGAGGCAGCAAACAGACCACCCTGCCTAGCTGAGGGTCCACAATGCAGAGTGGTGGGAATCAAGAGTGGAAATGCAAATGGGAAAGAATTGAGGTGCCAGACTGAATTGATCGTGTTTACAATGAAGATCTCCTGGAATTTTTTTCAAGCTCAAGAATACCTTGAGGGAAATAGTATTTTTAGGAGGATGAATGGGTGATACATATGAAGGGTCTGAAGGAAGAGACGTGAAAGGCAACCACCTCACTTTAGAGGCTGATGCAGGAATCCAAGCTGGTGGGCTTAGAGGGTCTGCGCTTGGCTGGAAACATCAGGAATGAGGGGTAAATGGCGGGGAGACCCTGTGGGGAAAGAACTACCAGAGTCTATAACTGATGGACATGTGGGGTCAAGGGAAAGGGAGGAACCAAATCACACTCTACAATGACCAGGCCCAGGGGAGGGGGAGACGTGCTAGATGCAGGATCGCAAAGGGGGGACTGTATCAGCCTTTCCCAGGCATGAAAGGATCTGCCGGAGGGGGCTTTCCTCCCCAGTCCCTTCAGGAAAGACTTTGACCCGGGCCTTTCTCTCCCAGGAAAAAGATGTGACTCCGGATAAAAACCTCCTGACCAAGGTACGAGATGCAGCCCTGTGGCTGGAAACCCTGTCACACAGCAGACCTGCCAAGCCTTCCCTCTCCACTACCTCCTCCACTGCTGACTTCTTCCTGGCCTTAACCATCTGCAACTCCGTCACGGTCTCCACGACCGCAGAGCCCCGTCAGAGGGTAAGGACCGCTGATAGTAAGGTGGGATGGATGGGAGGAGGGCAAGGGGCGACGGCGGAAGCCCTGCACAGGGGGACAAGATACTTGGGTCCTAGCCACACTGTCACCATTTCATCACTGTGAGACCTTGAACAGAGCTCTTAGCCTCTCTGGGCCTCAATCTCCTCATTTTCTAAATAAAATATTAAAAGTTCCATATGAGCTCTCTATATAGGTCTCACATTTTTGTGTCCGTCTGTCTGCAGGGTAGATGTTAAAAGTTAATATTTACTGAGCACTCGCTGTGTGCCAGGCTCCATGCCAAACACGTCACCTGCACTATCATTTAATCCTCACAGCCCAACAGTCCTAGGAGGTATGTCTTTGGATTTAACAACTGAAGAAACAGTGGCGTGGCTCAGAGAGCTTGAGGAACTTAAGGAAGGACGTATGGTGAATACACGGCAGAACGATCTGTACGATTCTGTAATAATATCACGGTATAGTGGTATCTGCTTTTTAATGGAGGGTTAAAAAAATACTTAACACCATGTGTGAAGTTCTGCCAGTTTGGAGATAACGCACCTAGATGGCCACTCATAGGACGTTATACTCTGAATTATTTTTGAGTACAGAAGATAGATTTATCTTTGATTATCCACATACTCTCACCCAAGCTCCCTTGTAAGTGAAAAATAAGAATAATTGGGTGTTACAACATGTGGCCACAAAAATCAAGAAAAAGAGGGTTCATCCAGGCACCAAACCAGAGCCCCCATTATTACACCCAGATTCTAAACTACCCTGAAAAGTCGGCAAGTAATCAGAAGTCTTCAGGGAGTTTTGGGAACGCAGGAAGCATTATCTGAGCAATTCTCCCTATTTTCAAGAGAGAAAACAGTACCATTTGGGGAAGGACAGCATCCAGTTCTCAATTTGCACGTCAGTGGGGAGGCTTTAGCTGGCAGGTAGCTCAAGAGCCCAATCCCTGGAGTCAGACAGACCCAGACTTGAGACCCAGCTCTGCTATCTATACACTGGGTGATCACAGCCAATTTAACCTCTTTATGCCTCAGTTGCCTCATCCAGAAATTGGATAATGATAGGATCCCCTAGCATCGCTGGGAGGATGAAGTGAGATGCTGTGTGGAAAAATAAAGCAGACAAGGCGATGATAAGGGTGCAGGGCATGTGAACCCCTACTATGAGTCTGGCTTTGGTCTCCTTTGCTTTGCTTTGCCCATGATCAGAGTGGGATGGTCATAAGATAGAGGAAAATGAGTATCGCCAATCCCTAGGAAGTCAGGGCTGGAAGGAAACCAATGGCCTAACTCCCTCATGCTATAGGTGGGTAAACCGAGGCTCACAGAGGGGAGAACCCACCATCACTGAAGGCCCACCTAATTCACTGATGGCAAAATGAGATTCATAAGACAGCTTGATAGTTTGCCCAACCTGGAGAGTCATGGTCTCCTTCCCTCCTGTACCACAAGGTCACAGTGCCACCCTCGACCAAGGCTCTGGTGACATCCCTGGAGAAGATTCAGCAGCTGTTCCACAGGTTGAAGCTTTCGAGCCTCAGCCAGTCATTCTCGACCACCGCACTCTCCGACGTGGACCTGGGGGAGAGTTTGGGGGCCAACATGCCCACCACGGACTCGGAAGAGAGAGACGACGCGTCTGTGAGCAGTGGCGGCTACTCCACCGACGGCGGCTACAGGAGCAGCACAGGGGAGCAGGGTGACATCCTGGGGGCGGGTCCGGGTGCCTCCCTGGAGGAGGTGCTGCAGGCCCCGGCCCTCAGCCTGGCCGGCCCCGAAGTCTGTTACGAGGCCGAGAGCCCCGATGAGGCTGCCCTGGTGCACGCTGCCCGTGCCTACAGCTTCACGCTGGTGTCCCGGACGCCCAAGCAGGTGACCGTGCGCTTGCCCCAAGGCACCTGCCTCACCTTCGATGTCCTCTGCACCCTGGAGTTTGACTCTGTCAGGAAGAGGATGTCCGTGGTCGTGAGGCACCCGCTGACCGGTGAGATCATCGTCTACACCAAGGGTGCCGACTGCGTTATCATGGACCTGCTGGAAGACCCAGCCTGCGGTGAGTCCACCTCACCGGGTTCCAAGAAGAGAGGGCTTATTTAACAGGCGGCGTGGATGGTAACCAGGGGCTCAGGTTATAGTGTCACTCAGTCCGGCAGGTCCCAACTGGAACACAAACCCTCAAGATGCTCTCCACAAAGCAGCTTGCTTTACACGTCTCCACGACCTGGAGAATTACAGAGCTCATTATTAACTTATTAAAGGCTTTGTTTGGGCAGTCTTGTCATAGAGGAACTTCTTTAACTTTATTTATCCCAGTTTCTAGTTTTCCAAACTCATTTAAAAATGGATTCTCCGTACACAATTTTTTTTTTTTCACCAGGACACCCATTAACATACCCTAGGACACACTGTGGTCCTAACTCTTAGTTTTGGAGAGAAGCCAACTGAACCCAAAGACAGAAGTGACTTAAAAGAAGTGGCCCCAGCTAACTAGTGGTAAATCCTATGTGGAGGTGTCCTGAATCCCAGTTCAGGGCTGTTTCCGTGCTGCCGGAATTCTGCATCAGGCTCGGTTCACTCTGGGAAGCCTCAGGTGGTCCTCTTTATCATCCCTTTCCCCAGCCTCCCCCAAACAGATTTTCATAAACTTGCTCCAAGCCAGAAAAATGTTCCAAAGTCCCTACATATCAGTGTCCAATTTTGGAACAGCATGAATTAGTGTGCAGCCGCTTCCTGATTGCTAGCTAGGAGAAGACAGTTCTGGGGCTGTGATTCTCCCAGGGTAGTAGATTCTAGCCAAGCTTTAGAATTGCCCAGGCAGCCCTGTGCCTCCTGAATTATCAGCTATGGATGAGAGCCAAGAGGTTCATGGCGGGGTTGATGAGTGTTTTGAAAGGGAAGGGAGCTAATTAAGTCTCTTCATCCCCAGACTCTGGCAGACAAGTAAATTCAGTGTTTCCGAGTCAAGGGTGCCACGGCATTCTATCCCCGGGCAACAGCCTTCCACACTGCCCTGGAGATGTTTCTTTCTCTGTTCCTCACCTGACTCCAAAATGGATTACCGATGCCTCCGATAAAAAATACATAGACAGGGTTACTATAAGATTTGCGAAGCAAAGATTTCAAAAGGGGGGGAAAAATAATCTCAGGGTTTAATATATTTACAGTGTTTGAACATCCAATTTGACCCTGAGGTTCCCGGTAGCCTGAGCAAAAATGTAAACTCAAAGGCACACAGGTAGAAGGCAAAAGGTGTTTAATCTCGGGAGCTGATGTCTTTCAAAATAAAATATTGTGGATACTGCTCAAAAAGATAAGGTACGAAGACCGTCGTTAAGGTACCAGGAAACCAGTAGCATCTGAAAAATGAGAAAATAATCTTTGAAGGGATTTTTATACTGCATAAAAGCAGCCTTAGAATAGTATCAGGGAGAAAGTGAGAGCTTTGTTGGACTTCCTTATACTTACCTTACTGTTAAGAATTGTACTTTTAATTTTGCATTATATGGAAGGATGGACAAAGTGCACAAAATCTGTTTACTGCTTAGGGCTTCTAAAGATCTCAATCCAGCCCTGGTAAAGAAGGATTCAGAAGCTTTTTCCAAGCTCAGATTTACAAAGTGCTGCCACTGATTAGTGATGTCTGTAACATCTTAGATAAAGGAAGCAGTGATTGCATCAATCCTGCCCCACAACCACCAGCCCAGGCTGAAAAATTCTTTTTTCTCTGATAGATCAAAGTACTGGAATTTCAAAAGAAAAAGATAAATTTCTTCTAAGAGAATCGTATTATGTAGGACGTCAAAAGGGGGACTTTGAGCAACACAATGAAATATTTTTCACACTAGATTTATAGGAATCCAAAAAATATTTTTTCTAAGCCTAACTCAGCAAACCCAGTATGGTGAGGAACTTAGTAACGAGATTCAGGTCTGTGGCCACCTTGGAAGCAACTTGCTATAAGGACTAAAGTAGATGACGGAGAAGGTGATGGATAGTATGTCTGAGACTTAGCAAACTGGTCATCCAGGGCTAAACTGGCCACGTGGAAAACTCCTTAGGTAACAAGAAACACTCAGACTTCTAGTCCCCTGATTCAGCAGGCCTTCAACCTGACCTGCGAATCTCTATTATTGGTTTACGTTCCCTGGTGGTTCTGATGCAAACAGATATCCATGCTTTTTTTTTTTTTTTTTTTTTTTTTTTCCAAGCTCTTTACATGTTGAAGCTGAAACCAGAAGTCCAACAGTACACTATCTTCACTTTTTTTTTTTTTTTTTTTTTGCCTCACAGCATGCAGGATCTTAGTTCCCTGACCAGGGATCAAACCCATGCCCCCTGCAGTGGAAGCACGTTGTCCTAACCGCTGGATCACCAGGGAATTCCTGCAAACAGGCATTTGGGAGGAACCACCTACCTTCCCTAAATAGTACTTCTCTCAGCCAGACGTTGGATGATCAGATATAGAGAGCAGACAATTTAAGGACCCGTGGAGTTACCACCTTCCAGGGCAGCCTGGGAGAGCTGTTGCATGTTTACAGGGGGCGGGGGTATGAGGGAATTCCTCCTCTAAAGATGCCTGAGTGTTAGGAACGGGATCCCTAAGCAATTGCCCACGACCTCATGGGGGATAATGACTATTTGACAGCGACTGACGCTGATGTGGAAAAGAAGGTGAGGAAAATCCGAGCCCAGACCCAGAGGCATCTAGACTTGTATGCGAGGGACGGCCTTCGAACACTGTGCATTGCCAAGAAGGTGAGAACAAATTCCACGCTTAGTGGCTGAAAGGCCTCGACCCTGCTTCTGTCTTTTCTATTGCTTTTTTAGAAGATCCTCAGTGTTGTTTGTTTTAATATTTTCCAAATTAGCTATCCTGACCACAGAGACCCATGACTTTGACAGTTTTGCTGGGACAAAAATCTGAGTGGCAAGCTTCCTTATTAGTGTGGCTTTGTGGTTCCTTGCTTTCCATTGTCTATGTAACTGATGACCTATAACTCATAATTTTTTAATGTTATAATTTTGCCTTCAAATATCCTTTGAACGTTTGCATTATTTGCCTAGATTTGGAATTGGGGAGATTTTATGTGATCACATACAAATCTAGATTTCTGGTTTCTCTTGAAAGTGCAGAGGATCTGGAAAACGGGATCTCCATTCTTGAATAGCTACAAATAGCTAGAGCCATGTAGCAGCTGATCCCTTCGATGAAGGATATATTCTGCTGTGTTCTGGGTTTGGTCATGTTTCCTACCATTCCCGATTGCATTGCCCTTGTCCCAGCTATAGTCAAGTAGATTACCCACCTGATGCCCTTCAGGTCTTTCACTTTGCTGCCCCTACAGGAAAGGAGGCAAAGAGCTATGAATCCCAGAGCTGGGGCATCTAATAAGGCACCTAAAATCAGATAGGGGAGCTATGATGGGCATACATTTCAAGATGGCTAGAAGTGGCTTCTTCTCCATAAATCCCCAGAGCTCTTCATCTCTTTTGTAGGTGCTTAGTGCACCTTGAGGTTTAAGAGCACCCGCTTTAAAGCCAGACCTACCAGGGGGCAAGTCCCAATCTCACCACTTATCTGTGGTGTGACCTTGGGCAAGTTTCTTCACCTCTCCGAGTTTGAGGATGTTCTTATCTGTAAAAAGGTGCTAGTGTTCCCTACCTCATATAATTGTCAGGGACATTAACTAAGATAACACAGGTACAGCACCTGGGACAGTGACCCGCATTACTATTCTATAAATTGTAATTATATCCTTACCACCTTCTATTTTTTATTGACATTATCTATTCCTATTTTGCCTCCTCTGATGAGACTGTTCTTCCTTGAGAGCAAAAGGCCTTCCTGTGTCCCCTTGGTTTTCCCTACCGTGCGGTGCACGGAGGGAAAATTCAAGAATAGTTGATGCTTCAAGGAAAGAGTCATTCATTACTATAAGAGACAGTGAGGGGCTTCCCTGGTGGCGCAGTGGTTGAGAGCCCGCCTGCCAATGCAGGGGACACGGGTTCGTGCCCCGGTCTGGGAGGATCCCACATGCCGCGGAGCGGCTGGGCCCGTGAGCCATGGCCGCTGAGCCTGCGCGTCCGGAGCCCGTGCTCCGCAACGGGAGAGGCCACAACGGTGAGAGGCCCGCATAACGCAAGGAAAAAAGAAAAAAAAAGAGACAGTGAGGATATAATGCCAACAGAGGGGTCTAAAAGTGCTGTGGACTCCACATATGCCCTCTAGTTGGATTCTTTCAGCCATTGGGCACCCCCAGCAGCTGGTGGAATGGTCTACCAGGCTATGCAAGATCTGGATGCTTCTCACCTTTCCAGCCTCATTGCTGGTCCTGTCCACCTGGCTCTCCATCCTTAAGCCAACTGGTAAGTTCAAGGGACAGAAAGAAAGCCAAGTCCTTTGCTATTTCATGGCCTTTGAACTTACCCCTCCCCGTGACAGAAGCCTTCTCGTCATTGGATCTCAGCCGACATGTCACCTTGTCTAAGGGACCTGACGATCCAAATGAAATAACCCCTCTTCCCACAACTATCCCCCTACCCTGTCATACGCCGTCATATCACCTTCTTTGTTTTCTGTATGGAACTCCTTGACATGATCCATTCTTTTAAATTATTCACTTGGATCATGTCTCTCACCCTCCACTAGCACATAAGCCCAGGCTTATAGGATTCTTGTCTGTCTCGATCACTGGTATATCTCCGGTGACCAGAGCATCACAGGGGCTCAACAGAAGTGCGATGATAATGGAACACGAAGAACCAATCCTTCATCAATTCAAGACTCAAAAAAAAAAAAAAAAAAAAAAAAAAAAAAAAAA